TCATCATAAATTTACTTATGTTACGTCTATGTTGGATATCTATGTCGTTTATGTATATAAATAATAATGGTCCATGCACTGGAGCCTTGGGGAACTCCATTTAGATGTTGTTCCAATGGGACTTAGTGCCGTTAATGCTCACTCGCTGTTTCGGGTCCTGTAACCACGCCCTAATCCATTTAAGGATGTCACCTTTGATGCCAAGGAGCTTCTACCTCTAAATTAGTCTTGGGGACCCCGTCGAATATTACCACGCAGTCGAGATATAATTACATCATAATTGTTCTCAACCACTGATCTGAAAAACTGATGAAAAGAATGTTAATAGATTAGTTAGACAAGAACGTCCGCTTGTGAAGCCATGCTGGGAATCATTGATCAATAGGTGCTTCTCCAGGTGATTTCGAATAGAGTTTGAAATGATTGCTTCCAGTAATTTGCCTACTATTGATGTTAGACTGATTGGGCGATAGTTAGAGGATAGTGATCTATCCCCCTTCTTGAAAATCGGTATTACATTCACTATCCTCCAGGATCCTGCACATAATTTGGCTTTAGAGAGAGAGAGAGAGAGAGAGAGAGAGAGATTCATGAAGCTGATTGATATACCTGTGGGCAAGAAGAAGAAGAAGTAGAAGACGAAGACGAAGACGAAGAAGAAGAAGAAGAAGAGGAAGAAGAAGAAGAAGAAGAAGAAGAGGAAGAAGACGAAGAAGAAGATGAAGACGAAGAAGAAGAAGAAGACCAAGACGAAGAAGAAAAAGAAGAAGAACGAATAGTCTAGTTTTTGGGACGAGAATTTTAACAGCTGGGCGCCTCACAGCCTCCGGTTATCCAGACAGACAGACAGACAGACAGACAGGTAGACAATTACAGACAGACAGACAGACAGGTAGACAATTACAGACAGGCAGACAGACAGACAGGTAGACAATTACAGACAGACATATAGATAGACAAACAGACAGACAGACAAGTAGACAATTACAGACGGACAGATAGACAGACAGAAAGACAGACAGACAGACAGGTAGACAATTACCGACAGACAAACAGACATAGATAGACAGACAGACAGACACAGACAGACAGGCAGACAGACAGGCAGACAGACACAGACAGACAAAAACACAGACAGACAGACAGACATTTTTGGCTTCTCTCTGCTCGCTTCTTCCCAGGATTGGCTGTCACGGTCGGGGACACTAATTTCTACTTAACGACTTCCAAGGCTGCCTCCCCATCCCCTCTTTCTCCCCCTTACCCCTCGCCTCCTTAACCCATTATCCCTTCCCCCATTACCCCTTGACCTCTTCCCCTTCTCCCCCTACCCCATTAACCCCTTCGCCCTCTCCCCTCCCCCCTAATCCCTTCCCCCTCTCCCCTACCCCCTCTCCCCTCCCCCCCTTGTATTCCAGCTTTAAAGAATTTATATTTTTTGCTTTTGTAAAGCTTTTAATTGCTAATAGACCCACATTTTGCTGTGTGTGTGTGACGTGGATTAGTCGGATGGGTTTATTAAGGTTGATATTAGGTTAGGTCAGGTCAGGTCAAGTCAGGTCACGTTAAGTTAGGTTAGTTTAGGTTACGCTAGGTTAAGTTAGGTTAGTTTAGGTTAGGGCGTACAGGATTCAACATATCCACTTAGTGTTATTGGCTGGCAACCTTGTGATACAGCCAGCTGATCGGGAAATCTGCAGACCAACAGGCTGTGGGGGAGGGGGGGGAGAGGGGCGGAGGAGGAGGAGGAGGGGAGAGGGGAGAGGGGCGTGAGGGAGGGAGGAGTGTGGGGAAGGAGGAGTGTGGGGGAGGGAGGAGTGTGGGGGAGAGGGGTACATCGTCTCGCTGTTGTTTCAGCCTTATGAGTGACGGTTCCCTCCCTCCCGGCCAGACGTGATAAGTATGTTTATTTTTTAGCCAGAAATAATAATAATAATAATAAAAAATAATAATAATTATAATAATAATAATAATAAACTCTGTAGTAAAATTATTATTATTATTATTATTATTATTATTATTATTATTATTATTATTATTATTATTATTATTATCATCATCAATAACAAAGTGTCAGTAGAGGCAGGTATTGCTAGGCGGTACACGGTCAGGTACTCACAGGTAATATCATTAAGGAACAGACTCCTCGTATCCAGGTGTAGTATCCATCCCCACGAGGAAGGAACGGGAAAGGTAGATTAGAAGAGGAAGGGGTGGTGGAGGTGGAGGGGAAGGGAGGAAGATAGGGGTAAGGGGAGGAGGGAGGGGAGGAGGGTAGATTGGGAGAGGTAGGAGTAGGGAAAGAGGAGGGGAAAGGGGAGAAGAGAGGAGGAGGAAAGGAGATGATCAGGTCAGGGAATAGGGAAGGGAGGTGGATTATCTTGTGACAACTCTCTCTCTCTCTCTCTCAACCCCCCACACCGCCTCACCTCCCACCCCCATACCCCCCTCACCCCCATACCCCCCACCCCCATACCCCCTCACTTCTACACCCCCACTCCCCACACTCCCCCACACCGTCTCAACCCCACACACCGCCCACCCCCCACACCCTCACCACACTGCCTCACTTCACACCCCCCACACTGGGCTCACCTCTCCACACTTCTACACTGGCTCCTGCAGCCCCACACTCAGCTCCCCAGAATTGGGCCAAACTTCCCCACCAATAGGAGAAAGTCCCTAAGGTGCCTAGGGGAAAGTTGAGGTCACTTTCAATTATCTCCCTGTCTCTTCTGTACCATTCTTCTTCCCTATTTCCCTTCTCTATCTTCCTTTATCTCTTCTCCATTTTCTGTCCTTCACCCCTCTTTCTCCTGTTCCCTTCTTCCTTTCTTCCTCATTATCGCTCTTTCTCTCCCTCACTTTTTTATCTTCCTCTCCATCTCCGACTCCCACCTTCATTGTACTGCCTCTTTGATCTTTATTCTTTCCTACTTCTTTCGTTTTATCCTTCTCTTTCTTTAATTATTTTCTTCCTTTCTTCTTCTGTTTTCTTTCTTTCCTCCTCCATCTTTGTCCTTCCTTCCCTCTTCCATCTTCTTTCTTCTTTCTTTTTTCTCCTGTTTTCGAGAATTCTACTCATTATGGCGGTGACAGTGGTGATGATTTACACACACACACACACACACACACACACACACACACACACACACACCAAAAAAACTCACAGGCGTGTGGTAGTTTACAGGTGTGTGGTGGTTTACAGGTGTGTGGTGGTTTACAGGTGTGTGGTAGTTTACAGGTGTGTGGTGGTTTACAGGTGTGTGGTAGTTTACAGGTGTGTGTGGTGGTTTACAGGTGTGTGTGGTAGTTTACAGGTGTGTGGCGGTAGTTTACAGGCGTGTTGTGGTTCAATCCTACACAAGGTACATGTGTGTGGCAGTAATTAGTTTTCAGCAGTCACTAGAGAACAGCGGCAGGTAATCCGGTAATGGTCTGTGGCAAGGTCACCTCTCTTGTCTGCCAGGTGACGGATGCCTGCCGTGAGGGGTGGAGAGGTGAGGGGTGAAGAGGAGGCAGTGAGGGACGGAGTGGTGAGGGTCGAGAGGTGAGGATGTGAGGGTCGGAGAGGCGAGGGTCGAGAGGTGAGGATGTGAGGGGTAGAGAGGTGGGGGTGTGAGGGGCGGAGAGGTGACGAGCAGGAGATGTGGAGGAGGAAGAGGAGGTGTGAGGCTGGGAGGTGGAGTTTAATTAAGTTAGGTAAAAGTTTGGGTGGGTTAGGAGTGCCTGGGTGGGTCAATGGTGGGTTAGGAGTGCCTGGGTGGGTCATTGGTGGGTTAGGAGTTCCTGGGTGGGTCAATGGTGGGTTAGGAGTGCCTGGGTGGGTCATTGGTGGGTCAGGGTGGAGTTAGGAGTGCCTAGGTGGGTCATTGGTGGCTGGGCTAGAGTGCATGGGTGGGTTGGTCTCCGGTGGTTGTGGGGAGGAGGAGAAGGAAGATGGGGGAGGTGTAAGAGGGGGAGGGGAGCAGGTGTAGGAGGGGAAGGTGTAGGAGGAGTGGAGAGGGGATCAAGGGGGAGGGGGAAAGGGGGGTGGGGAGGTGGAGAGCCGCAGGAACCAATTCTCAATCGGGGATTCACCTCACTCGTTCATGTCTGGAATATTGGTGTGGAGAAATAAGAAAGGTCCATCGTCAGACTGCCAAAAGGTACTAGTCCTGATTTTTGGACGCTGATACGTGATTTCAGGTGGTGATGGGGGTAATATTTCCAGCGAGGTCTTTATCGACTCTTTCCAGGCGTGCTAGTGGTGTTTTAAAGGCTATTCTGACGTACCACTGCTGTCTTAAAGGCTATTTTGACGCACCAGTGCTGTTTTATAGGCTATTTTGACGCACCAGGGCTGTTTTATAGGCTATTCTGACGTACCACTGCTGTCTTAAAGGCTATTTTGACGCACCAGTGCTGTTTTATAGGCTATTTTGACGCACCAGGGCTGTTTTATAGGCTATTCTGACGCACCAGGGCTGTCTTAAAGGCTATTCTGACGTACCAATTGTGTTTTAACCCCCTAAGATGACCATCAGAGTCATAGTTGATAAGAAAGACACCTAACCTAACCTAAACTGTCCAGGTAGTATTAGGGCGTTTAATCAACAGGTGAATTAAGTTAGGGATGGCTCTTCTTCAGTTAATCCCTAATCTGTTCATGTACAATTTTATGCCACAGATGAATGGTATTACTGCTGGTGGTTATACTAATGCTATTGGACTTCTGGTAGCCAAGTGTTCGAGGGAGTGAGGGTGAAACTAATATTTTCTATTATTTTAACTTATGAAACGACGTTATTTTCACCGTGAATTAGGTTGAATTAGGTGAGGTAAGATGAAGTAAGATGAATTGAGGTTATACACTTAGGTTAGGTAATTATATAGTGAAGTGAATTAGATGAAGTAAGATGAAGTTAGAGGAGTTGAAGTTATGTAGTTAGGTTAGAGTAAGACAATTTTCCAATGAAGTGAAATGAAGTTTGGATTTGATTTAGTCTGCCCATAAATGTTCTCTAATCAATACGTTTTCTTTTTCAGGGGAAACTGTACCTATTTGACCGAGTTATCAAGCCCAACTCAACACAGGAGAAGGTGTATGATATCGTAGCTAAGGACATCGTTAAAGGTGAGTTTCCATTATACTCTTTTAAGTTATTTAAGTGTCAACAAAAGTCCACCATGAGTCAGAAGTTCAAGCATAAATATATCTTCTTTATTTTTATCTCCTGTCTGTGGTCCTTCAACTTGGTGAGACAGAGGAATGTATCTATTGTCTTTCCGTCTGTATATCTGTCCATATATCTGTCTATAAAAAGTTTTTAGAGTTTACTTAATATATTTATTGTGGCGCATATATTTTTAAATTCCTTGAAAAAAATTATGAGTAGTTCCCCCTCGCAAATGTTTTTTTCATCCGTTTTCTATCAATTGAAAGAAGATATACAACTATGAAGTCCTTTCCGATAGTATTAAATCCCGAATCATTGTACTGATTAATTAAAGATAGAATAATAATGTCAGGTGGGAAAATTAAATTGCATTGTTACTTTCGTTTGTGTGTGTGTGTGTGTGTGTGTGTGTGTGTGTGTGTGTGTGTGTGTGTGTGTGTGTGTAAATAATAATAACTAACGGTTTATTGAAAGAGCTTGGCAGCCAGAAGGCTGAAATTATACAGTTACATATTTGGGGAATGAGTTTCGAATTATAAATAATATACAAGTAACATAAGTGATACAAATAAGACATATAATAACTAGATGGGGAAAAGCTCAAACTACAGTGCATTTCAACATAGTGACAGTGCAAGGAGTAGTGTTTACTGGGAGTGAATACACTGGTCTATTACAAGTTATTGATAATTTTTACAATGGTTGGGACTGGACTGTTCTTATAGCGATCAGTTCGTGCACGTATGGGCTGGATGCGGTTGTGGTGTCGAACAGCAATTCTCGGGCTAGGGATCTCAGGTGGTAGTAGGAGCCGGTGTCGAGGATGGTGTGGAAGCTTCTTACCAAATTTGCAGATGAGGTCGTGGTGATGGTCAGTGAGAGTCGAAAGGGTCAGTGTGTTGAGCGCTTCTTGATATGTGGAGTAGGAAGGGGAGAGAATAATCTTGCATGCCCTCTTTTGCACTTTTTCTAGGTGTTTACGTTGTGGTGGCATTTAGGGAGGAAGACCAGGTGGGGAGGCATAGGTGAGCTTGGGAAGTATGAATGTTGTGTAAACACTGAGGAGCTCGGGTGCAGGAACTCCGAGGGACTTGAGTCGGCGGAGGAGGTGGAGACGAAACTGGAGGATTTGACAACTTCACTGACGTGTGGTTTCCAATTTAGTTTGTTGTCTATGGTGACGCCGAGGAGCTTCGTGGAATCTACAACCTGGAGTGTGTTCGGACCTAAAGTAATGGAAGGAGGTGGGACAATGTCGGAGGAGAGGTTGATGTGCATAACCATGGTCTTGGTATGGTTGATGGTGACATGGTTGTTGGTGGCTCAGTTTTGGAGATTGTTCAATAAATCCTGAAGGGCGGTATAGTTGGGGGCAGAATTGTTGACGCTGATCCCAATGGTGGAGTCGTCGACATATTTCCAGCGAGCGGGGGTTTCTCTTAGGGCATCATTGATGAGCATAAGGAAGCAGAGTGGTCCCATCTTGGTGCCTTGGGGGACGCCACAGGTGAGTGACTGAAAGGTGGAGACAGCCCCTTGGAAGCGTACAGCTTGGCGTCGGTCACTGTGTGTGTGTGTGTGTGTCCTTGACCTATTGTAGAGAGTAATTAATTCATATCTCACACCTATTGCTCATTACACTTCCTTTCACAGCGCACAGGACTCAGATACTGCTCAATACATGTCTCTCAGCAGCTCACAGGACCTAGAGACTATTAAAAAATCACATCTCTCAGTTCACAGGACCCAGGTGCTAAAACACTTCTCTCCCAGCTCACATAACTCACCTACTTCTCCCAGCTCACATAACTCACCTACTTCTCCCAGGTCACAAAATCTACTGTCGACCCGCCTCTCAGACACACACTCCAAGCCGAACACACAATACCCAGTCAGCTAGTTACCACTGTTATTTTAAGGTCTTTTTAACGCAATAACAAAGACTTTCAACTCAATCACACGGTATTTTAACTCAATCACAAGGTATTTTAACTCAATCACAAGGTATTTTAACTCAATCACATCCACATACACAATCTTAGCCGATCAAAGCTCCACAAAATTTCAGATTTTCAATAAATGGGAATCCTAGAATTTACCAAATCGAAGCACTGCGTTGGAGTTGATTTAGGCAGTCGATACCCGATTGTAGTGTGTGTGTGTGTGTGTGTGTGTGTGTGTGTGTGTGTGTGTGTGTGTGTGTGTGTGTGTGACCTTCCCTCGCCTCAATTTTAGGGCACGTTCGGATCAAATAGGACTGGAGTCTGATAGAATTGGGGCCTATTCAACCTGTAAGCCCTCCTCTCTCTCTCTCTCTCTCTCTCTCTCTCTCTCTCTCTCTCTCAGGAACACACTCCACCCCACATCAGTTAACGTGTAGTGTGCCATTGATCTGCTGTGGTGGTTACCCATTAATAATCACGTGCCAGGCATCCAACTGCACCTGCTGCCTCTCTTCCTCCTCCTCCTCTTCTTAGTTCTTCTTGCTCCTCTTCCTCCCCCTCCTCTTCTTCTTCTTTTTCCTCCTCCTTCTCCACTCACGGCTATTCTCTCGTATTCCTACTCTTCCTCCACTCATTCCCACAGCCGCACTTTCCTCTTCATCTCTTTCTTTCTCATTCGCTATCTATATCCCCCTTCTCTCCCCTTTTCCCTTCTCACATTCTCCCCTTCTCCTTTTTCTCTCTCTCTCTCTGTTCCCTCCTTCTTCCCTCCCGTTCTCCTCCTCCATCCCCCCCCTCCATCTCTTCTTTTCACTACCTTCTCCTCATTTCTTCTCTTTTTCTTTCTTTACCACCCTTCTCCCTCCTCTTCTTTCTCTACCTTCTCTTCCCTTCCTCGCTACCCCCATCTGTCTCTACCTCCCTTTCTACCTTCCTCCTCCTTCCTCTATCTACCCTCGTCTCTTTCTTATCCTTCCTCCCTTTTCTCCCCCCTCCATCTCTTCCCATTATCCAATCTGCTCCACTTCCCTCCGTGGTCGTCAGTGTAGCCCTTGTAAGCCATTGGTAAGTGGAGAGTGATGGCAGTCTTCCTGTGTAAAATAACTCTACTGTACAAGACGTTAACTGTGCAGGGCTAAAGTATCTTGTGTTGTACTGTACTGCTGAATGATGGTGGAACAACCCTTGGGTGGACCAGCATCCTGCCAGGGTGGTGGAGTAACCCACTAGCTGCTGAATGATGGTGGAACAACCCTTGGGTGGACCAGCATCCTGCCAGGATGGTGGAGTAACCCACTAGCTGCTGAATGATGGTGGAACAACCCTTGGGTGGACCAGCATCCTGCCAGGGTGGTGGAGTAACCCACTAGCTGCTGAATGATGGTGGAACAACCCTTGGGTGGACCAGCATCCTGCCAGAGTGGTGGAGTAACCCACTAGCTGCTGAATGATGGTGGAACAACCCTTGGGTGGACCAGCATCCTGCCAGGGTGGTGGAGTAACCCACTAGCTGCTGAATGATGGTGGAACAACCCTTGGGTGGACCAGCATCCTGCCAGGTGGTGGAGTAACCCACTAGCTGCTGAATGATGGTGGAACAACCCTTGGGTGGACCAGCATCCTGCCAGGGTGGTGGAGTAACCCACTAGCTGCTGAATGATGGTGGAACAACCCTTGGGTGGACCAGCATCCTGCCAGGGTGGTGGAGTAACCCACTAGCTGCTGAATGATGGTGGAACAACCCTTGGGTGGACCAGCATCCTGCCAGGGTGGTGGAGTAACCCACTAGCTGCTGTAGGTGTGGCAGCAACAAGACAATTTAAGCACAATTCCAAAATAAATAAATAACATTAATTTTGCTTTTCAATTCAATGTTATCAAAATATTTATGACCCATGAAATGTTGGAACATAGATTAATATTTTTAAAAGTTTTTCTTGTATATTTTAATTTATGGTAATCCGCTGTTCGCCATTATTGACAGTGACGTGGAATATGGAACTAAACTAATATTTTACGACACGGGAAATTAAGTTTGGTTAGGTTAGGTTAGGTTAGCTATCGTCATGGGTTATGGGGTAGATAGGGTGAAGAGTATGGGGGATGGGTGATGGGTGTGGGTAAGGGGTGATAGGCGTGGGAGAGGGATGAAGACTGTGGGAGATGTGTGGGGGAGAAGGTCACTGGAATGGGAGACTGGAAAGTGGGTCAGACTGCAGTGGGTGGTTGGGAGAGAGAGAGAGAGAGAGAGAGAGAGAGAGGACAGTTTGCAATAAACAAAAGAATCTGGTGAAGGGAGAGATAGCATGAGAGGAAGTATTTTGCAGCGTTCTAACCAGGGAGAGTGAGGGCAGGGAAGGGAGAGTTAGGACAGGGAAGGGTGGTTGAAGTCTACACGAATACCAGAATTAAAACAAACACTCCAATAAACCAGGGGAGGTGAAGGATGACAATAAAACGGGAAGAGGGAATAGAAAGAGAGAGAGTTATATATGTAAAATAAGTCAGATATGAAAGTAAATGGAATACAGGGAATATAGAAGAGGAAGGGATTGATATTTTTAATGAATATTGAAGAAGCAAACAGAGATTAATGATACTGATTCAAAGGAAAAGATAATGTAGATAAAAGTTGATAATAACTTAGAAGAATTGATGGATTTTTATTAGCAATTAGGATTAGGAAAGGTAAATAGATGGATAATTACAGGTAAGAACAGTTATATAAATAAACAGAATACATAATATTTTTTGAGACAGGTGACAGTAGTGATATAAACACATATATTATACATATATACTAAAATACACATTACAGTCGATACAGTGATAGATACAGAAATATACAGTAAAATGTTATATAGTTGATTTACCTTGGAAATATTTGTTCATTTTTTTTTGTAAGTTCATAATCCCACGTAAGCATAATGACATTTTGAGCATCCCTCCTCCAGGCTTCAGTGATGAGTGACCCTAATTTAGTTCATATTTTTGATCGAATGAGGACATTTTGG